CTGAACCCTGAGCTGACTCCAGGTCTTGTTGCCCCCACCCCCACCTTTCTCCATGTTGTCTCCGAAAAGGAGAGGTGGTCAGTCAGCTGTGTCCGTGGGTTACCTGCGTTTGGTTTATTGGGGGTGCTTGGGGACATTGTTTTATCGGAAACCAGTAACTACCTCGAATTCCTCAGGCCACAGCTTCTCCCTTAAGCCAGCATGTGATGTAGGTGTTCTTGTATTTGTTGGTCACCTGACAATGAGAGAGAGCAGTGGACAACCATCAGTCTTCTGAGCCCTCAAGGAGGAACTCAGTCTGGAAAGCGGGCTTTTTTCCCATTGAAACACACAGCTCAGCAGCATTGAAAACATTCAGATGGAAATCTTTCTACATGTTGCACACATCTCTGCCTCCATAACCATAATATTTGGAATGTGATTTAGCTTTTTCTGGATGACTCAGGACATCGTGATTCTCCTCAGGTACTTCACTGGACTGTGTCACCCAGTGGTTCCTTCACTGAGGTTTGTCCTTGCCTAGAACGATGCTCTTGTATTTTCTGGCTTTTCCATCTCCGCTCTTAGGAGGAGTTGTTAGGTAGTAACCCAAATCCGTCTCTCTCTCTCTCTCTCTGTGAACTTGGAAAGCAGCCTTCTCAAGCATGTCAGAACCATGTGTCACTCACAGTAAGTAGATTGTGCGTAGGGCCTGAGAGGTTCTCCTGTGAGAAAAGATTATTTTTAATGTGTAACTTGTGATGTCAGTTTTGGCTGCTCATAACTTTTTCTTTTTTGGGGGGTTGGGGGAGAGTTCTGGTCTTCATCGCTGTGCTCAGTAATGAATCTGCTGGAATCCAGAATCTGCGTTAGGTAACACGATGCCATCCATCGAGGCCCTCTGGTGGGGCAGTCAAACTCATGTGTGTGGAAGTTGAGTGAGTGAGGGCACATGTGTGGAATCTCTGTCCCCTCTAACATCCAATACCTGTGGTCCTGACAGTTTCTGTGGTTGGAAATGGCCCCCGGCAGAATAGCACCAACTTCCTAAGAGAGGGAGTGACAGCCGTAAGACCCCAGAAACGAGGTGGATGCTCCCCAGGAGAGCCGCATGTGGCAGAATGGCTAAGAGCGTGGGCTGCCTGGGTTCGGATCCCAGCTTCGCTACTTAGGCCCGTTGTTCTTCAATGTCTTATTCTGTAAAATGGTGTTTAAGGATTAAATGAGTCAACAAATGGAAATCCTTTGTATCGTTTCGGGCACTATTCTAAGCGATCGGTAAATGCTACCATGATTATGAGCCCTATTGGTCAGGGAAGGCTCCAAGGAGGAGGTGGGTCGTGGCTAGGTCTTGAAGGATGACTCGAGTGAGCTTCGTGGAGGTGGAAAGGAAAGCACAGGGCTTCCCTATCAGGCACACAGCCCAAACAGGGAGTCTGGTGTGTCAGGGGATGTGAACCACGTGTATTAGGGGCGGGTGGGGAGGCCAAGTAGCTGTGCTTTGTGGGATGTGAAATCAGAACTGAACTGTAGATTGAGGTCAATTTCTAGAAGGCTTGACTTCCAGGCCAAGAAAGTAGCCCGTTGGAAGTTTTAAAGCCAGACAGATTTGAGTTCAGATTCCGACTCTGTCCCTCACCAACAATGTGTTCTTGGACAAGTTTCTTCTACTTTCTGAGCCTTGGTTTCCCCATCTCTACAAGGGAGTAATAATGATATCCATCGACGAGGGGGAGAGGAAATGGAAATGCACGGAAAGAGCCAGGCATACTTGACGTATTCACTACGCGAGATGTGTTTTTATTATTATTATCATTATTATTATTATTATCATAGAAAGAGCCAGGCATACTTGACGTACTCACTACGCGAGATGTGTTTTTATTATTTTATTATTATTATTCATTCATTCATTCAACAAACATAGCCATGCCTTTTTCTGAGCCAGGAACTATGCAAGAAGCTGGATATAGAGAGACGAATGAGACATTGTCCTTGCTCTTGGATATCTCACAGTCCAGCCAGGAAGCAGAGATGGAAACACAATCGCAAGGCAGATCCGATAAGTGAAATAATAACACAATGTACATATCGAGAGCTCGCACAAAGACGGATGGCTTGCTCTGCATGGTCATTCGGAGGGTGAGAAGCCCATGAGACACTCAGGTAGAGCTTTTCTGAAGGTGGGTAGATTATAGGTCAAGAACACAAAATAGAGATTTGTACCAGAGCCACTGAAAAGTTCTGAGTTTGCATGTGTGTGTGTGTGTGCATGTGCGTGTTGATCGCAGCAGTATTTGGTCAGCTGTATCTGGTACCTGTGCCAGGAGAGCCAGGCTGGGGATGGGCAGGGAGACCAACCAGCAGGAGCCTAATGCTAGAAACCAGGGGTGAGAGCAGAGAGTGGGGGCTAGATGACCTAGGACAAAGGCCAAGGTGGTTTTATGCTCCTGGGCAAGTGTCCTTTTTTGTCAAAAGGAGGTAGATAATACCACCAAGCACATGCACGCTGCTGTGAGGCCGATGCCTGCCAGTGCACGTTGGGGTCTGTACTGTGCACGCGGCTCACTCGTGGACTCTCTGGAGCCTGGCAGAGTGTGGGTTTGCATAGTGGGTGCTCAGGAAGTGCTGACTGAAAGCAAAGCCGTTGCCAAACACAGGGAAACGGGTGCCTTGTTGCCGGGGCTGGAGATGTCCAGCGCGGTGTTAGCGGTGGGGTTTGGAAGGCAGAGAGTTGCCTGCATAGTTGCTGAGGGTCGAGTGAGAATGCAGGACCCAGGGAAGAGGTTGGGGCTGCCCATACAGGTTTGGGGGTCCCCAAGCCACGAAACTGAGCTATTACCAAGGCAGGCGGGAGAAGAGAGAGGAGTGTGGCGGGCACGGGACTGAGCCTGGAGGGGCCGTGATGGCAAGCGAGGGGCACAGGTGAATCGGCAGGAAGCGAAGAGCAGCGGAGGAAGAGAGGTTGATGAGTCCCTAGGTGCCATCTCTCAGGAGCCAGGAGGGACAACTTATGCAGGCAGCAGGCCAATCTTGATCGTTTTACCTTCCCGAGCGTAGCACAGTCCAGGTTGGTGGCTGTGAGGGGCAGACCTTTTGAAATACCCGCCATAGTAGATTATCTAGCTAGAGGTCACCGTGCCTCCTAGTTTGCACCGGTGCTGGAGAGAGACTGACTGACTGACCAGGGCCTCTGCACACTGGGGCCGAGGAGATCTGACAGAGGGCTCCCCCTGAGAGCCCGAGGCTTTTCCTGAGGGCCTTGTTGACAAGCCGGGCCCCCCAGATGTAATGCGATTCAGTTTATTTAAGAAAATCATTGTATTTACAGCTGTCAGGTAAAAGGAACTATGTTGTACAGAAGTGTGTGTGTAGCACACGTAGATATGTAGAGGCTTATGTGTGAGTTTAGGAAACGGGAGATGGATAGACAGGAAAAAAACGGGGGACATTCATCTCAAGGTGTGTGTCTTTAGCCACCGGAGGGCGTGTGGGGTAGTGGCGGAGGCGTACACGTCTGATACTGTGTATTAGATCACCGTGCAGGTATCGATTCTGCATTCGGCCTGTGCGTGTGTATTACGGGGATGGCATAAGGTATGATAAACGACAGTGCGTGTTTCTGGAGAATAGCTAACCCCCTAAAAGTGAATGAGCGAATAACACAAAACGAGGCTGGAGGTAGGAGGGGACAGCGTGCTCGCAGGCCCGAGTACGTAGCGAACAGCTGCCTGTGCGTCTTCGTGCGTCCCCGGGGCCCACACGCGTGTGTCTGTGCTTCCCTACTGGTTCTCTGTGTCTGTAGGTTGGGCTGTTTCTCTTTGCTCCTGTTGCTTCTCTGAAGGCTCCCAGGAGGTTGGCGTATCCGACGTGTTTGGAGAGGGGTGACTTGGTGACTTATGAAGCAGGCCAGAGCCCCGGCTGCTCTGGGAGTTGTAGCTTAGTCAAAGGAACTGCCTCCATCGTCCGACGTGTTTGGAGAGGGGTGACTTGGTCCTCTCATGAAGCAGGCCAGAGCCCCGGCTGCTCCGGGAGTTGTAGCTTAGTCAAAGGAACTGCCTCCATCCCCTCTCGTGACCCATTTGGCGAGTCCCAGGGCCAGGATCAGGCAGGAGCCACTAGGGGAGGGCTGACTGCCCAAAGCCTATGGCGTGGTCTAGAGATGGGCCCAGTTTGGCTCACTGAATTTCGACCGCCTCCCGCCTCTGAAGCGGCCCATCCAACCTGGGGCCCCTTTGCCTCACTCGGGTGTTAAGAAGGCATTTATCATAGAATCGCAGAACCAGAGCCAGGAGAGGACTCGGAACCGATCTAGTCCACCCCTCTCGCTTTTGCAGAAGAGGGATTGGGGGCTCAGAGAGGTTAAGTGACTGGAGGAGGGTCACACGGCACTTTGAGGCGGTACTGTGTTTTCTGATTTGCAGACCCATAAAGTTTATTCCCTGGGTGGGTGGGGGGTGGAGGTGGTTGAGTCCTAGGTGCAAAGGCTTCGGGTGTAAGTCGTATGAGAGATTTTAAGTGTTTCTAAATCGATGAGTGCCTATGTGTGTCAGTGTGTCACTGAGCGTGAGTGTGTCTCGGGTGAGCCCCGTGTGAGCGTGTCCCCATCTGTCTCTGAGATGCACTGGAACGCAGGGGAGGAAGGAGCGTGTCTGGGGGAGTCAGGATGGCTGACTGCTGCTCCCGGCTTTGCCTTCGCCTCTCCACGTGACCTGGAGTGGTCACTTCCCTGCCCTGGGCCTCAGTTTCCTGAGTGTAACATGAGGCTTGGGTCCTCTTGGGCTGTGTGACCCTAAGTGTGAGGCACTCACTCAGGAAACACCTTGGTCTCTGTCGCATCCCCAGCAGAGCCTTCCAGGTTGGGTGACTTGTGTCAGGGCCTGGGTGGGCTCGGGGACCTTAAACCCATCACTGCCCTTGGAGCCCTGTCCTTGGTACCTTCGCTAACCACCCTCCTTTTTTTTTATCTCTCTCTCTCTCTCTCTCTGCCTCCCCCGTTTCTGAACCTCGCTGGCCTGTAGAGGAGCACCCCATGGAAGGTGAGTGATGCCTTTCGGTCACTGGGGTGGCAGATCAATCACTGTGGGGTCCTATGTGAGGGGGTGTCGTTGGCCACCTAAGGGCTCCCTCCCCTGCCCGTGCCCAGGGAAGGATGTGCGGGTGTCCTCTCTGCTGGTTTGCTGCGGAGAACTGCCAGGCAGAGGGCAGGCCCTTCCACTCGCCCGTCTTCAGAGCCAGTCTGCCCACTGGCCTGTCTTTTTCTTCAGGGAGGAGACAGGGGGCGGGAATGGAGGCTTCTGAAGGGCCCAGAAGTGAATGAGGAGACACTGTTTTGTCCAGCCCAGCTGAGGAAGTTTAGTAAAGCCGTGCCGACAGGGGCTGGGGTGGCGTTGGGAGCTGTTGGTGGGTAGAATTCCCCTCCGGGGGCTGGAGAGTTCAGGCAGCAGGTGGGGGCTGGTCCTCTGGTCAGGGCGTGTGGGTCGGTGGCAGCTTCTCCACCCTGACCCACCTTGGGGCAGGCCCCCAGCCCCTGTTGCACAGGCTGGTAGGTAGGGGCGGTCTCTGCTTCCTCCCTTAGCCCAGGCCAAGCGCGCGGGCAGGGAGCGTGCCTCTCTTCGGGATCTCTCCGTCCATTCCTTCCCTGTCTTCTCTTCTGCCCTTTCTCTCTCGCTGGTTTTTCTCCGGGGCTCCGTCCCTGGACCTCTTTCTTTGTCTCGTTCCTGTCCTTCCCCAGGCTCTCTCTGGGTTCCGGTCATTCTCTGAACCTTCCCCACCGATTTGGTTTTCCCTGTTTCTTTTCCTCCTCCGGGGTGGACTAGCTCAGGGAGAGGGAAGACGTTTGGATGGTCCAGACTTGGAGCTGGGTGGCAGGTGAGCTTACTTGGCCACCTTGGAGAAGGCAGGCAGCGGGGGGCGGGGTGGGCGGGACATGGGATCCCAGGCACCAAACCTGCCCCACGTTCTCTCCCTGGAGCAGTAAGTGGGAGCGGGAGGGACACAGGTGACCCTGGGCTGGGAGTCCCCTGGGCCTGGGCCCTGTCCTAGGAGGAGCAGGGGAGAGTTCTCAGGGCACAGGAGTCCGGGGAAAGATAGACGGAGGGGCTCTTGGCCTGAGCGTGGGGCTGGAATCCATTTTTTCCTTGTGGTGTCCACGGTTTGGCTGGTCTGTCTCATTGATGTCTCTTCTCCATAGATGTCCTCAGGTCCCTTGGTCCTGGCATGCAGGCACCCGTGTGTGTGTGTGTGTGTGTGTGTGTGTGTGTGTGTCTGTACGCGCATAACTATGTGCGTACAGCTCTGCTACTCTGTTGCGTTGTGTGCCTTTGTGCACGTCTGTACATACGTCCTGTGTGCATGCGTCTGAGGGTGTGTAGGGTGTGTGCACCTCCATCGCCATGTCTTCTGTGACGTGGCCCACATCTCTGCCTCCGTAGGAGCATCTGCATCTGTGTCTGCATCTGCCCTGTCTGTCTGCATCTCCGTGTGTCAGTGTTCGCCCCTGTGTGTGTGAAAGAAAGAGCCTGCATGTCTGGGTGGACGCAGCCTTCTGCGGGCCGGAGATAAGATTTAGTGCTGATGTGACTTTTACTTGCTCTCGATGTCATGTCTCCTCTGGAACAAAGGGAGAGATGACGGGAGGAAGAGAGACAGGGGGGAAAGGGTGGAGGTTGGCAGGGAGGAGGGGACAGATAGACAGGAGGAAAGAGAGGGGGTAAGTAAAGGTGGGAAGGGGAAGGACACATTTGGGGGCGGCGCAGGGAGCAGCGAAATGGGGAGGGGAAATAGCCAGGTCAAGAGAACGAGCAGGAGGGCTTCTGGGGGGAGGAGGAGTTGGGGAGCTAGTCGGGGAGAGAAAAGGGAACAGTTCTTTTCCAAGAGAGTAGGATAGATAGGGACGAGGAGGGGAGGGAAGCCGGGGTTTGGGGACAAGTGTGGCGCCACCTAGCCATTGCTTGGGGGCAGCATGGTGGTCTGCTGGTTTGGATGTGGCCGTGAAGGCGTCTGCTTGTCAGTGGCTGTGTGCGCAGGGGTGAGTGTCTGCGGCCGTGTGAGTATGAGCGCGTGCGTATACACCTGGGGATGTGGCGCTTCTGTGTGTCTCTCTGTGACGTGTCTGCTCGTCCCCTGTAACCGGCTTCCTTCTTTCAGGGCTAGCCCTCTTGGGATTTTGGTAGGAGAGGAAGGGAGTGTGACCGAGAAGAGAGAGGTGGGTTTCGCAAGTGGTGGTTTCAGGGGGGCAGGTCGGGGCCTCCTTGTGGCATTGAACTCCGGACCCCCTTCAGATCTCCGAGTCCTTCGTGCCTGCACCCTCTTTTCTTGTCCCCTGATGCTGTGTCTCAGGCCTGTCTTTCTCCCGGAACCCAGCCATCCTGCTCCCCAGGCCCCTGCTGAGCATCTCCTTTTGGGGATCCTGGCTGCCCCATCTCCTTCCCCCCCTAGCCTCTTGTAGCAGGGAGAGAAGACCTAGAAGCAGCCAGATAAAGTACCCTGGAAAAGGACCATTGGTGATGCCATCCATCACTGCCAGCCTCTTCTCCAGTGGCAGCAGGAGGGGCTGATGCCACAGGCGGACATGGGGAGGGGCGTAGGGAAGGGGAGCTGGGCTTGAGGACGGAGCGGAGGTTTCAGGGCTGGGGGGCGGGGGCGGGGGGCAGGCTGAGAGAACCCTCAGGTCAGGCTGGGCTGAGCTGTGGGAGACAGGGCAGTGAACTGGCCTCCCCTTCACCAAGATGGCTGGTGCTGTCACGCCTGAGGGAGCTGAGCAGCTGGTTGCCGTGGTGACAGAGGGAGAGTACCGAATGCTAATGAGGCTGGCTGGGAGCTGGGCAGTGGAAGGGTCCGCGAGGGGAGCGACGCCCTCCCCCCAGCAGCAGTACAGGCTTGAGAGGGACCGAGGGCGGGTCCGTGGGGCACAGGCTCTCCGGCCTTGATTTCCAGGGGTGGGAGCCTGTGAGCAAGGCTGTTTTTGCCAGGAAGAGTTGGGGCTCTGGGTCTGGGTCCTGGATTCAGGAGGTTTGGAGGAACATGCTGGTAGTTCTTGGGTTCTTGGGGAAAGAGCTGGTGGGAGGCATTCAGAGCAAGGAATAAGACTCAGTCCAAGTGCTTGAGTCCTCCCTGTTTTGCGGATAAACACCTGTCTTCCCAAGAGCTGCTCTGTCCTGAAGCGGCCCTCAGCAGCTAGGCCCCTCCACCCCCAGATGACCTCAGACCCAGAGGCGGGGAGAGATGAAGGCTGCCCGCGAGAGGAGAAGGGGCAATGGGAGCCACCTGCCCACAGGACTGGGACGTGGCCCCTGGCCATGCCTCCCTGGCCTCCTTGCTGCCCTCCTCCCCAGCCCAGGCGGAGGGCTGCGTCCTAGAGACACCTGGAGCTCTGTACCCTTGGCGCTCCCGTCCTCGGTCCTCGCCCTGCTTCCTTCCCCCAGGGCCCGCATCTCTTTGCCACAGCCGCTGGGATGCTTTCCAAGGGCAGCGTGGGATCCTCTCCCACCCTCTTGGCCAGACACCAGTGGTGCAAGGTGTGGTGGGGGAGCTTTAGTGGGGCTGGCTGGTTATCTCAGGCCCTGGAGTCCCAGCCCCTGGAGAGGACTTTCCTTGGCTGGTGCCCTCTGGGGACCGAAGTCCTGGCCAAAGTCTCTCCCCCTAAGGTTGAGGGGTACCCTGAGTCAAGGCTGACAAGGCTCCCTTAAGGGGCCAAGGTAACCCTGAAAAAAGAAATCCCAGCTGCTCTTGCTCTCAGTCTTAGATATAGGGCTTCTGTTTCCCATTTAAAAAATTCAGCTTTTGGGTCATCTCAGAGAGGGCCTGGCCAGAGAAAGGGGGTCCGTAGAGCAACCTGTGAACGAGGTGTTTGACCTCTCAGAGATCCGGGCCTCAAAGACCCGGGGGCAGGTCTTTGCTGTCTTCTTTACTCCTTGCTGTCTGAGGACACTGGCCCTAGTCTCCTAGCCCCCTTGTGGAAGAATCCAAGCCCCCCATCCTTTCTCCAGTGTCCCCCTAGATTCTGCTTTCTCCTACCTGCTTTCGCACTCACTTTGTCCTCTCGAACCCGTTTCCTTATAGGACCTGGGTGCGCAGGGTGCCTGCCGTCCATACAGAGGCCGTGGGAGGGGGCCTGGACAGATGCCTTCCCAAAGCCCACTTTGGTGGGGAGTCCTTCCAGGCCCAGGCTCCCCCCACCCCAGCCCCCTTTCCCTTCTCCGCCAGGGTCATAGAAGTAACAGAGATGGGGCGTTGGGGCGGGGGGTGGAGGTCCCCTTGCCCACTCAATCCCACGCTAACAGGACACTCTCTCTCTCTCCAGGTGGCTTTGATTTTTGTGTCGTGTTTTATTTTCTCCTCCATCCGAATTGTTTTTCTCGTTGACCGTTTTTTTTTCTCTCCGTCTCCCGGAAGAAAAAAAAAAAGAAAAAAAGAAAAAGGAAAAAGCAGCCCTCCCAGCCTCATGCTTCTCCTCCTTTTCCTTTTTTTTTTTTCCGGCAAGAAGAAAAAAAGAAACCAAAATCTCCTCTCCCCCTGCAGTGACCCCTGCCCCATCCTTCCTTCGGTTCTGCCTGTACCCGCTCACCCTCTGGTGCCCCCACTTCTCTCTCTGTCTCTCTGTCTCTCTCTGTCTCTCTCTCTCTGTCTCTCTCTCTGTCTCTCTCTCTCTCTCCCCCCTTCTCGTTCCCTCCACCCTCTGTTTCGGCATCGGGCCCCTTTCCTCAGCTTCTGGGCTGGGGGCCTTCCCCCCGATGTCTGTCACAAGTTAAAAAGGGTTTTTAAATTGTGGCAGCAAAAGCTTTTTTCTCCCCTCTCTCTGGCTGATTTTGATGACTCGTGTTTTCTTTGTTTCTTTCCCCTTTTTCTTTCTTTCTTCCTTTTTTTTTTTTCTTTCTTTCTTTCTTTCCTTCTTTCCCTTTCCAAGGTCCGGCTCACCTGACGTTAAACAGCGAAGGTATGGTTTGAAGTTCTGGTTTGCTTTGGATTGGACTGGATCGCCCCCAACCCGCGCCTGGATTTCCTGTTCCTCCCCTTGTCCCCTCCTCCACCTGTCTCGCCTCCTTCCCTTCCTTCCTACCCACTTCCTCTGCCACGGTTTTATTTTATTGGGAGATGCTGGGCGGGGGTGGGGGGCTCGTTCCCCCGTCTGTGCTCTCCCCTCTCTCCCCGCCTCCCCGACACACTCCATCCACCCTCATGTCACCTTGGTTTCTGACATCAAGAGATGTTTGAACTCCTGCCGTTGTCTCCAGTCACCTTTTTTGCGTTTTCCTGGTGGTGTATCTTGCTTTTTATTTTTTTATTTTTTTATTTTTCTTTCTCATGGTGGTATTTTATTTCCTTCCGCTCATTCTGATCATTCTCTCTTCTCTATGAACCCAAATAAAAAGAGAAAAGCATGGGCTGGAGAAAGAGGATGTTAGGCAGCCTCCTTCCCCTCCCCCTGCTGTTGCGGGATGGCCCTGGAATCCATAATGGGAGTAAGTGGGAAAGGTGGGGGAATGCGGGTGTGGGGGACCCCCTTTCCAGGGCTGCCCACTGCACGCCTTCACCCTTGTCTCTTTTGAACATCTCTTGACTGATTAACAGATGAGGCTATTTAGGCCCAGAGAGATGCAGTGACTTGTTGGCGATTTGCACAGCTTTTAATTGGTGGGACTGTTGGGACTGGTCATCTATTTTTAGCCTCCCTTCGACCAAGTCCCTACCATCTTTAAAAGCCCTGGGGTAAGCAACTGGAGACGGAGCCCAGGGGTCCTGACGGGGACCCCTCCCCAGCTATGATTCTCCCCAGGCCTCCCTGTTGTTGACTCTCTTGAGCCCAGGTATTTGGCCTTCTAGACCCATAGGCACTGCCCCCCCGCCCAGGGAAGTCCTCTGTTGGGGCTCATCTTCCATAGGGATAGGTGGAGTCCGTGGCCTGTAGGCAGAAAGGCCTACAGGATGAAGACTGGGCCGTGGGGAGAGACTCAGATCTGGAATTTGGGACGGATTTAGGTCTGGGGAGGTACGGGCCCGTGATTCTTTTAGGGATGTGAAATTAC